TCTTCGAATCGCTCAATCTGTTGGAATACTGCAACAAGCACCTGAGAGGGTTATTCACTTCGAAGTCTGGAACTGTTTATGAAAAAGGGATAATGAAACTTATAGAAAGTTGGCAAATCCTTACTGAACAGAGTGGAGGATGTATCGTTTGATCATTGGGTTTCTCCTTTTAGAAATTCTCACTCAAAGATGAATCGAAAATCGGCAGAGACTTTTCGGACAACCCATTAGTAACCCCGCCGCACGCCACGATTGTGTGAGGAGAATGAAATGAACTCAAATGAATGCACCAACGTGTCCAGCCAGAAAGCCTAAATGTGATTTCTCGAAAATTGCGTTTCTATTAAACGCTAGAAGAACCATTTATACAGAACAGTTGTCCAGTAGCACAACATAACCACTATCCATTAGAAAGTCTGCCACTCTGAATTTTTGGGGGAGTTCTAGGATCAAGGTATGTTCTTGTCCAGATTTCTCCGAACTCGCTATGATTTCATCATAGATGCGGTCCTGTCGAAGTTCCGTCGTCCATGCGGGCTCCCCGGAAGCCGCAGCTACGATGAGTTCTTTAAGAATACTCCCCAATTCCTCTTCCTCGTCTGAAGGACTGAGGGCATCCGTTACGCGATTCGCAGCCCCTTCTTGGTAGATTATTTCAAGGCTAAACTTCTGGAGTTCAAGAGCTTATCTGAGTACTCCGGCTGACACATGATTGTGTTTGAAAAGTGCCATTAAGGGTCGGTGGTCGGTGTACTTTCGAACGGGGAGTCCGTATACAATCATGTAGAAATTTCTCAGGGCGATAACGGCAGCCAGTGCTCTCGAATCAATCACGTGAAAGATAATTCGTTCCACATTGTGAAAGGCCTTTTGAACCGAAAAACACCGAACATGCAGGATCCATTCCCTCCTTCTTGCCTTAGGACAGCGCCTAAACCTTGGATGCTTGCGTCGGCGTGATTACATTGCTGTGGTTCCTTCAGCGATTTCCTCAATGGGATAGAATCACTCATTTCTGCAGTCGGGTGTTATATCCTGATTTTCTTCAAGTTTCTCGAGTAAGACGTATCCGAGGGCACATAGGTCTTATTTCAAATGGCCACTTCAACTTGGGATCCTTCCCTGGGAAGCTTGAGGAAAGAAGGAGCATTGAGGTGGCCAAGTTCTCTTTTTTTCTTTCTTTTCGCATGGTAATCATCCCATCCACCCAGGTGCTCCTACCCTTATCTGACTGAGGTAAAAAAACTATGTACATTACCCTAGCTAAACAGGCGCAAAAGCGCACAGATGGTCTGCCAATATAGCAAGGATTAACACGTAACGCTGGGTTCCTTCCTTGATATACCATCTTTGTTGATGGGCGGCCCCGCTCCGACTACTTGATTCTATTTTCGTTCTGATTTGGTAAGTGATTGTGAAGCAATGGGGTGACGAGTTCTCATTCATCCGTTGCTCCAACTGTGAAAAGGTTTGTTGTTCCAAGCATTTCGTGCCACATTATCACATTTGTTCACAAAGTTGCAGCGAATATCGAAGCGGTATTGCTTCATGTGGATAATATCAGCAGAAGCATCAAAAGTTCATAGAACGTGACAAAATCATTATGAGAGTATTTTTTGTTCAAGAAGAAAAAATTCCATATGATGCGAAAATTCCATGCCCCACAAAACCCAACCCTAGTTTCTCGCGCATGAGGCGTCACGCTTTCGAATGCTACAAGCCACCGTTGAAGAGCTATGTTCGTTCAGAGGTGTTCGTTCCGTTTATCGTGAAAGCAGCATCAGGTAACAATCCGTTTCTCATCGGTATCGTTTTCGTTAGGTTCAGTGAGCCGATCTTTCCACAAGCGTTGTCAAATTGGGTCAGCCTTCGTTCCAACTGCTCGATGTTCCGTGTTGTAAGAAAGATGTCGTCTGCAAAGCGGAGATGATGGAAGTAGTGGTCATCCACCTTCACTCTCATGCCTTCCCATTCCACATGACGCATGATGCTTTCGAGAACAGCACTGGAAAGTTTGGGCGAGGAGGCCCTGTCGAACCCCTCTTTTGACGTTGATGATGTCTTCCTTATGGAGCGGCGAGATCCTGATCATGAGCTTGTAGAGCTCACGAAGCATTTTCATATTTCGAGTAGGAGCATTCTCGTTGCCCAGGGCTTCTATTACCGCTTATATCTTGACGGTATTGAAGGCTTCCTTTGAATCGCTGAACGTGAGATGACGGATTTGGTATCATCGCGATACTTCAGTGAGTCTTGTAAAGATGTGGATGTTATCGATTGTGCTGAACCCTTGTCGAGAACCTGCTTGCTCTATAGCTGTCCTTCATATGATACTCTGCCAATCCTGTTGAGGGTGACTCGTGTGAATAGTCTGTAGCAGGTAGATTAAACGACAATTGCCAATATCTTTTGAATCTCCCTTTCTATACAGCTACGCAATCTTGCTAGTCTTCCAAGGACGGCAGCTTGTATTCCGACAGGTTTCTGATTACCTTCTCCTTGCTGTTTGTGTTGCAACAATTGTTCTGTAGGGCAACGAATGGAAGTGGTCTTGGTCCTGTAATCAAGGAAGCTATGCTGAGCTTGGCGAAAGCTCCATAGTTCTAGCGGCTTCCGCCAAACTGCTGCCCTTCTCTCCTTCCCTTATCGCTTCTCTGCATAGCTTCGCGAGTTCGGACGTTAGCTGGTTATTGCCTACAGCTCGTGTAGCTCCACGTTGGCGTATCAGCTCGAGCCTCTCCAGATTTATATGAAACGCTACAGCTCTTCCACCTCGTAGCTCGATGTTGGTGCGTAGACAAGGAAGGTTGTTAGTCCTGTAGCTGAACCACATCTTTTCATTCGCAGACGCCCGATTCGAGTTGTGGAGCTCATGTACGAGTCGATGTTTATGACCAAGTGCGTATTGACGACGACGTCTACGCAGCTGACGCCTCTACTGTGGCATGCTTCAGGGGACGGTTCTTTTCCAGTTCCAGAATACAGCATGTCGCGAGCGATGCCTACTCGTGTCCGTCAGTCCAAATTTGTACATGACCTTCCTAACTTGCATTATCACCGTTCGATGCACGCTTCCAATGCAAGCGTTCGTGCATTTAGTGTAGAGATTGCTTAATCTTTCTACTTTCAGGTGGAGTGAGCCACCGAACCCAGCCTGATCACCCGTGCCAAATACGCCTCACCTACCCCGCTGAAAGGGTGGCCAAACTCCACCGTACGCCTTGAGGGCTAAAGCGAACGCGACAAACTGGATCGATTCCGCCTAATAGGCCGCTAAGTGGGCTCAAGTGAGAATCCTGTCACAGTTAGGCAAAGTACACCCTAACAATGAACGAAAGCGGTTCGTCACGTGACACTACGTAACTTCAGTTCTGCTGCCACTGTTGGGGTGTACGAGGTATCTGTGGAAGGGTTCGTGTTGCAAATTGATCAATAACACGGAATAATTGTGTCAAAGACTGGACAAGAGCACACGAGACAGCTAATAGCATAGATTGGACAGAGTAATATGTCTTCAAATATGGAGCCGTGTCCGTAGGAGCTAAAGAAGCTGCTGTTAGACGAGAATATCATCGCCGAAAAGCCAGCCTCTATGAAAGCGACGCTGGAGCATCTGGCCAGGAAGGTAGATGACAACAAAGCGCACGAACTGCAACAGGTGAATACTCCATTTGCAGTCGTTGTGGGAAGTGTGACAAACCTGCGAGCGATTTTCGCGCAAATGTCGCAGAGGGCTTCAACTAGAACAGGTAACCGCTTGAGGAGCTAGTGGCTCAAAAATAGATAAGGAATGCAACCCACTGAGATGGAGCTGGAACGCTTGAGTAAGTCGGAACATTGTACACGCGTTTGTAATAACATAGTGTATAAAACAATTACGCTAGTACCAAGCGCGCAAACTTTGCAAAGCGAACTAGTAGTATCGAGAGCAAGTTAACTTGAAAAGGTGTTGAAAAGGTGGTGTACCTAATGCGGTAATATAGGCAACTTCACAAGTAGCATCGGAGTCATGCTATAACTGCCATTTTTAGCAGAACCAGCAAAATCCAGAGAAAGGAACTAGCAGAAAGGTTGTGCATGAGCCGCTGAGTGTAAGAGAATCGACAAGGTCCGAGCATTCGCTGGTGCACAAGGTAACCTTCTTCATACGTGCTACCGATTAGCATATAAGTGAAAATGTTGAACAAATGTCGTTACAGGCAAAAGAGAAGGCCGACTGGAGGCCGAGGACAGAGGGCCCAAGCCCGCCATCGTTGAGCCGCAGCCACAATCTAGGCGGGCCCTCTCGTTTTGACACTGAAATCGGTCGTACATCGGCCGTCAGGGCCCTATCCGAGATAGAAGACCCGCTATGGAGGATATTCGATGAGTTCATCATGGAAGTCACGATGAAGTTGGTATACCTTCCCTTGCTGTGTACAATCTCCATTCCTTCCAAATGGACAAACAACGCAACCGGATCACTAGGACAAGCAAAACAGTCAGTTCTGAGTGGTATACAACCATTTGTTTGCCAGTTGCCTTCCAAAAAATCAGGAAAACCAAATGCCGAAGACGTTTCACTCATCACCCCGACAATGCGAGCTCCCACACATCGGCTCAAACTACTGCATTTTTTACCAGTCAAAACAACGATCTGATAAGTCATCAGCTATATAGTCTAGGTGACTTCTTCTTATCCCGTACGTAAAAAATAAAATGAGAGGCCAACGTTTTTCGACACCTGAAAGAGCTGTTGATGCGTTCAGAATGCACGTTTTAGTGTGACCTCAATCAAAGAGGCAAAAGTTCTTCTACAATTGGTTCGAACGCATGCAAAAGTGTCTAGATCTTAATGTGGAGATTTTTGAAAGGCAGTAAAGCGATTTTCAATGTTTAATATTTGTTCTTAATCTCTAATCTCGAAATATAAAAGGAAACCTACGTGAAAATGGGCCTCATCTTCCTGAAGCTGAGGAGGCCTCTGATACGGCAGCGTAGGGCCCAGTGTCGCTCAGCAGATGCTGCTGAGATCTCAGGGCTACGACAGGCTGCCTGAGAGGAGGAGGACTAAGACTGTGATCTGTACTCTCAATGCACGAGCGATTGCATCAGAAGCATGCATCGAAGATCTGCTGATGCAAGCCAGGAAGATTAAGTACGACCTCATCGGACTGAACGAGAAGAGAAGGTACCGCCTGTCACATGCCACTTTTGAAACTGGAAAAGAACTGTTCCTTTGAACATGCGACAGCGGAGGCGGTGTAGGTTCTTCGTCAATACGCACTCGGCCATGAACACCCATACGAAAGCTTGACAACCCGAATAGAAAATTCACGATTGAGAAGATGTGGCTCAACCCTAACTCTAATAGTCTTAATTGTTTACGCACCAACATCGAGCAATACAAAGAAGAGTTGGAAGCATTCTATATGAATCTGGAGTGGCTCTGCAGAAAGTCCATGCTTCCTTCAAAGTCATCGTCGGTGACATTAACGCCAAGACTGGCCCCAGAAGAACGGCTGAAGTGCTTCACATCAGGGCCCACGTCATGAAATATAATGAGCAGGGTAAAAAGCTGTTCGAGTTTATCATTTCGACCCAAACTATCCATGGTAACTCGCAGTTCCAGAACACTGTCATTCCCGATGGACATGGCAGTCACCTGGAGGGCAGTTCCACAGTGGAATAGATCACATCATCGTCAATCGTAAGTTTTGCCTGACTGACGTCGCTGTTGTTCCGAAGTTTTACACGGGATAAGACCGTCGTCTCGTCCACGCTAGATCCTGCTTTTGAGTGTGTGGAGAGAGCTGCAAAGTTTAGGAATGACTGTTGCCGTTTGAGATCACTCGCTTCATTGGCGAGTATGTGGGAGGATTCCTTCAGCGACAACATCGATGAAAAATACGACCGGCTCGTCAAACATCTTCACGATGGCAACAGAAAAGCTTAGAGTACCATAGATGTCAAGAAACGTCTCTACTCAAAAACTCTTGAGCTGATACGCCAGCGTGGAATCGCGCGAGCTCTAGGCAATAACCAGCTAATGTCCGAACATGCGAAGCTACGCAGAGAAGCACTGAAGGAAGTCTGAAAGAGAGAAGAGCAGCAGTTTCGACGGAAGCCGCCGAGGCTGGGAACAGCATTCGCAAAGCCTGCCGGAGCTTCATCAATTATAAGATAAAGGTGACTTTCCTCCGTCGTCCTGACGGAATGGTTACTGCATCCTGAAGGACAATGGAGAAGGTAATCTACGACTTTACTCTGTTCTTGGACAGCCACGTCTACCTGCCTACCTACAATCTTGGGCAGGACGGATACGTCGTCCCTTCAATTTTCCCTTCTCAAATTCGACATGACATCACGTCGGTGAGAAATAGTACGGCACCCGGTGTCGACAGGATCAAAGCAGTTCATCTAAAGAGCCCTCCGTCAAAACCTTAGCCCGGCTTTCCACGCGCTACCTGTCGGGATGCAAAGTGTCCACTTCTTGGAAAACTAACAAGACCGTATTGTTGTATAAGAAGGGAGATCTAGACGACATTGGCAATTATTACCAATTCGCCTGCTGTCTTTAATCCATAAACTCTTCACATGAGTCATCCTCAACAGGATTGGCAGAATATCAAATGAAGGGCAAAAAAAGTATCGCGGGAGTACAAAATGCCGTTATGTCCTACGTTCATCAATTTGAAGGAAGGCTTCGATACCGTGTAGACAAAAGCGATAATTGTAGCCCTTAGCAACCAGTGTTCCTACTCATTACGTTAGGATGCTTCGTGAGCTCTACAACTATTCCACGAACAGTATCTAGCCATTCTATAAAGAAGTCATCATCAATGTGAAGAGGAGGGGTTCGACAGGGTGATACCATCTCGCCCAATCATTCAGTGCCACTGTCGAGGAAGTCATGCCACATATGAAATGGAAAAGCATGGGAGTGAAGTGGAAAAATCGGATTACGACTAAACCTAACGAAGCGATAATCATGCGAAACGAATTGGCACCTGATGCTCCTTTCACGATGAACGGAACGAACACCTCTGAATGCTCCAGCTATGTGTATCTGGTTCGGGAAGTTAACATGATGAATGAGCTGACCCCGGAGCTTAACGAACTCGCGGCGTGGGAAGCATTTACGAAAATCGAGGGAGTAGTGAAGTAAACGAAGAAGTCCGGCTCCGTGCTTACCTTTCCGATACTGCGGTCCTTTCTGCTTTGACATACGCCTCGGAGATTCGGACTCTACGGAAGCAGGATGAGCATGCAGATAGCGTCACTCAACGCGCTGTGGGAAGGAAGATGCTCGGAGTCTCCCTGAACACGCAAGTGCAGAGGGGAATCCGGTGTTCCGAGCTCGAAGACGAATGAAGATCAGGGATGCCGTTGAATACGCCGAGAAAATTAGATGGGCCGGGCATGTAATGCGATATAGTGATGACCGTTGGACTAGGGCGGTTACGAAGTGGATCCCTCGAGACGCCAAACGAACACCAGGACGAACACCGGCTTGATGGTCAGACTTCCTCACGAAAGCTCCGAACAAAAGGAATGATTTGCCTCGTGTCCCTCGAGCGAGTACGATTCACTGTACTACTATAGCTCCCGACGGGGACGAATGGAGACGTTACTGGCGCTCGGTCGAGGTGATCGGCGTTCAACGGGAAGACAGGTGACAGGTTACAGGTGATACTTTAGCTGAGCTGAAGTCTGAAATGGTGTTTGACAAAAATGAACCCCAAATATTTTTGGCTCCCAAGCTCTTACGAAGGCGATTGCCGAAATGTTTGTCAACATAAAAGAAACACCGAAGAAACACTTTGATAGTATATGTGCAAGGATATCGCATATGCTTTTATACTAACTACGAAGCAGCGGATATCTCGTCCCCACAACCATTCATTGCAAGCAGACGGTTTCAGTGCGTTTGCACGGATAGTTTGGGAATGAGCGTGAGTCACTGTACAGTGGGTGCAGGGAATTTCCGCCGATTGTGACGGTCGCTTGCTGGATGTAGTAGGCGATTAGCTGGCCGTTTCGCAAAAGATATATTTCTGCGTCTTTGTTGTGACGTTGTGTTGTGTTACCTTGTTGTATATTTGTCTTATTTACTGCGTTCAAACGACTTCGATTAGTCCAAATGAAGGAAGAATGTAAACGCGCAACCGGTAAAACCCATTTCAGAATTCTTTCCTTCTGTGTAGTTGGTTTCTGGCATAAAGCGAAGGCTTGTCCGAGTTTGAGGATGTGGTTGGCGAACGAGGTGCGACAAGATGACCGGTTTTTGGCGAAAGGCGGCGAGTTTTTTATAACCTTGACGTGGAATTTTGGAAAATTTTTCAAATGACCAAAGACCATTGCAGCGCTCCCTAGTATCCTGATCAGTTTAGTCTGAGAAGATGCTGTTTGAAAACATCCCTCAACCTTTTCACGGGCCACCCCATTGAGAGTCCCGGTCAGGAAGTTTGTTTTTTGCCCAGTCGGAGAGCGGTGGCGGCCTCATACGCATAATTCCTTCAAGGCGATGGAACCCATTGAATAAATGAATGTCGTTCCCGGTAAAGCCAGTAAAGGTAGGGGTGATAGCAGATCCGACTGGGAAACGACAATTGTGATAAGGTCTTGAAACCACTCTCATGGCCCCGAACGACTCGTTGATGCGTTCTTTTAGGACTTCACTGTTCTCGAAGATGCACTAAGTGAGAACGGCGGTCGAAGCACATCCGTTGTTCTAATACTTGAGTCACGGCTGATGAAATGTTATTTTGAGTGAGCTCTACCTCGCATCTATGTACCAGAGCGCCGTCCGGGAAATACTCCAGGATATCGAAGCAGGAGCTGATTGCCGTGCCTCAACCAAGCTTACGAGCCCCTGCTTAGATAACTACAAATCGGACGGTTGGGCAACAGCCCCATCGTTGGACGAGGGCTTGTTCACGGGTAGTGGTAGATAGAAACGATTTCCAAAGAGTGATAGCTGTGGGCACGAAAATGGTTTATATGATTTGTGGTGGGGTTGAGTCTTTTACTTTGCTAAGTCAAGCAGAGCATGCGGAGTAATGAAGTGGGCGTATGATAAGCGCTACCGTATGAAACAAAGTCAGACATTGAATAATGCGAATGCCGGAAATGTTGTGGAAAATAAAGATTATAGGCAGGGATAAGAAATATTCCCAGTGAGGGATGTGAGACCGCAATAATGCTGAAATTTTGCGCCGACCCCAAGTTAATCGATTTTGCGATGGAATGCTGCAGACGCATTTGTAGCCTATGAGAAGAAGCGACAGCTCAAGAACCGCGACCTCGATACTCCATGGTGGCCGAAAGGAGGAGGAGGAACTCGAAAACCGAAAATATTCAACGGTAGCTGTTGGAGAATCTTCGACTTCCGATGATGCGGTCCTGCTGAGGTGAAGGGTAGAAAACCGCGAATCATACGCGATAGTTCTAATACCGTCTAGCAGCCCATCGCAACCGCGAAATTAGTTGAAGAGAGCCTCTTTACAGAAGCTCCGTAATCGAACGTCCAACATTGTTGCATGCTAGCTGGACTTTTCCTGACGGTGAATAAATTACTTGCTCTTCGCCCCAGAGCGGCACCGGCTTAAATGGCATGCCCTGACAAGACGGAACCGAGACGCTTCAAACGAGCCTTGGTTCACAATGAGTGTTTTCAGGTATCCCGAAACGCGAGACCCTGCCTCCGGACAGACGAACATGAGACAATGGGTACATGAATGAGAAGTCCTTATTCTTTGTGCGCAAGAAGCAGAGGAAGCGGAACAAGAAACCATGGAAACAGAGAACAATTTGAAGTTAAAAAACAAATCCAGGCCCTCATACGATGATGAATCACAATGGCTTGTACTTCAGGATTTTCTACTTTCTACTTTTGTGCAACTGATTCTTTAGCTTTCTCAGTCTGCAATATTTGGTATAGAATTATATTCACATCTAGCCTCCAATAATCTAATAGCTAATCACTGCAATACGCCCAAGCGACTGACCTACGTGAAGGAATTCGCATGGTGGAGCATGGAACCTTTTGTGGATAATAGACACGTCTTAGCGGCCCTCCTATCCAACTCGCGGGGATACCGGACTGACAGAAACTGTGCTTGGGGCTTAAAAAGAGTCGCACACTATCCTGGTGATCACCGAAATGTAGCAGCACTTAACCAGGTGCAAATTATCTGCGGGATCTCTACATGACTGGAACGACTTTCCAGAGCAGAGAAGA